TAAAAAAAATGAAATAAAATAGAAAAACTTTTGTATAGGACAGACAGGTTGCAGTATGTGACTACAGCCAGGGCTCGGGGGTTTACTCATCCACTGACAGCCCATTGGGAACTCTGAGTTTACACACTGACTTGACGCGCCAGATGSTTTGTTGCACAGAAGCACCTGGGATGTCCGAAGTAGAAGAAGTTTGAAAAAGGCCAGGCACTATCAAAAGACATTTTTAACAATTGATTTGATGAGCTGTCTGCATTTCAAAAAGAGTTCAAGCAGAGCCAGTCAATAAACAGAAGTTGCCATTTTCTTTTTTTAACTACCAACATGATCTGGCTGGCTTGCACAATATGGTTTCTCTCTAACTATGCTAATTATATTAATTCTAGTATAAGAAGAATAACAGTTTGACTCAAGGCATTGAGCAAATATCTTATGCTTGCAATACTGTATTTGAGGTAAAAATGCTAATGTAAAAAAAAGAAACATGACTCTCTCTGCCCATTTGTTTTTTTTTTCTTTTACAAAATAGAATAAAAAAGTAAACATGGGTCAGAAGGAGAAAAAATAAAAGTAATCAGCATTTTTGATGCAACTTTAAGTTAATATATTGACATGGCAGATATGGTATGAATGATATTTAACTAGTGTAATCTACCTGCTGTTTCAGTAGCTGTATCTGTATTTTTAAAGACATGATGTCTTCCAAAAATGTACCCTCAAATATGAATATGGGATTCAGTCAGCTAGTAAAACATTATAGCTTGTTTCAAATCCAGCTTACTCTAACTATGTAAAAGCATATGGAGATCAGCACAACCACAAAGCACATACATGCACTAACGCTGTTACTCCATGACTTAAATTTTCTAGATGTTTTCTGGTCCCTGCAATGTTCGTACAAAACACGCCTCATGTCATGTTTCATAATGCATGATGTTTTTTATGGGTCTATTGTGGCTTGGAAGAAGGAAGAAAAAAGAACGACAAACAGACGCAAAGTACGGCAATCAATAATGCAGGTGATATATTGGTATGCAGACGAGATGTGACAGCAGCAGAGGACTGCCTTAGGCTTTTTCCCCTCTTGTCCTTTGCCTGCATTTTTTATAATAGTAATTTCTTGCACAAACAAGCCAATACCCAAGGCAGCCAATTTCTCATATTCCCTGCATATCAGCTTAATGTGGCTAAACTGTAACCAAAAAGTCATTATTTTTAACATGGTCTGATTRCATAACTGTAACCTTGGTTACCCCATTTGAAAGAGCAGATTTTCTTATTAACTGACCTTTAGCTTTAGAAATACTGAGAAGCCAATACAGGTGGRCTTCAGACATACAATGCAATTAATAGTTTATCTAAAAAAATAACATGCATGAATTAAAGACCTAGAACTCGAAAGGTTTTTATATYGTTTATTACCCTTAATGCCATGTAAAAAGACAGCCTTGTAGTCGTTTTAGTTAAACCTTGAAAACACCTTAGAGTTATGAGCAATCTCATGCAATAAGCAGAGGTTGTTATCATGCTCACAGCGTGGGAACCACTCTCAGCTACTGCCATATCAAATTTTAGATATACAGTATGTCTGTAAAATCAACTAATTTTTGCCATTTTTTGTGTTGTTGTGAGTGCTATCTTGCATTTCCTCCAAAAGGTAACAAAATGTGCATCCAATCCTTAGGTCCTGAAAGTTTTATTATAACATGTCGAGTGCTTCATGAGATATTTTATTAACAGATAGACACGTTCAGAGAGACATGGACAAAAACAATACTGCTCACCTTTCTTTATTTTTTTGGGTGAGCCTGCCTTCAGTTAGGTGGCTTCTTCCTGTCACATGCCTGTGAGCCAGATAAATCAGCGTGCGGGTTTATGTCCTGTTGAGGAGTACTGTGAATGATGAGGCTCTCCACACCTGAACCGATGATTGGTCAGATGATTGTTCACAGGATTATATGACTACAGAAACGCAGTTTCGAGCCGCTTTGTAGTGCCCGCAATCTTAAAAGCCATTTCCACGTGTTTAAAATAATTTCGCTGCTCTGCTGGCGTGAAGTTCCAGACGTGGGCTGAACATTAAAGAACACAAGGCAGCTTCTGTCCCCCAGGAAAAGAAAATCACTTCTGAGCACAAGGGACTGCATCAGTAGCATGGCACACTGCCTAGTTTGTTATAATTACGAGCAAAGGCAGTTGTGAATAGGCATCTTAATGACCAAACAAATTGTTGCATATTTCCAACCCATCTGGATGATTTTCTTAGGGGGAGAAATGTGGTTGGTGTTCAGAATGAGTAAACACACTTTGTTGAGGTGAACATAAGAACTCATAAAAACACTTGTGTTTTGCCTCTAAAATGTCCTGATAGATTTCACGCATAAAAAAAAAAAAAAAAAAAAAAAAAAAAAAAAAAAAAAAAAAAAAAAACGAACAGGTGTCTTTGTTTGTTTGGTAGCAGATTTAGAGCTCAGAGTTGTATTTATTTTCCTGGAGGCTGTGAAGTGTTCTTTGTCAAGATAGCATTGTGTTTAGATTTCAGTTAAATTATTCAAACATGATGTTTCACATTTAAGAGTGTGAGCATGAAAAATAATTATTTGGTTAGTGTGTGGCTCCATCTTCTGGACAACTATAAAATCAACATTGGAACGCTGCACCACCACGTYGGTTAATTGTAGCCTCAGAACACCATTCCCATCGTAAATCAAAGACTCAGCAACTAGCTTTCAATTAATTCACAACTTCCACCTTCTTTAATGTTGACAGTTTAAACAAATATTGTCTAATATTGAGAAATAATGAAGTATAGCTGTTTTTGACAAAGAAAAWGATTCTTAAACCATAACCACACTGAACTCACACATGAAAAAAAACTTCAAAGCCTAACATTCCTAATTTCAGGACTTTCTTATATCCACACATTTCTCCTACMTACTGGGCTTGATTTAACTATTTAAATCCACAAAACAAACTGTGCCATATAAGAAACATG